TTCTGTATCCTCAGAGCCTGGGACACACATGGCATTCAGTAGAAGTTCTATATGATATTAGTGAATATGAAACTGTACTTAGAAATATTTGTAGAACAAAACTGAAAAGTTAGCTTAAAAAGTTATCTACAAGACTGAGAAAGTCTTGAAAGCAGGGAAGAAGAGCTGTACAACATAAAATTGAAAACTGAGAAACCCCAAATTTAACTGATCAAATTAAGTCCAAATTCTAGAAATTATCTGTGTCAAAACAAGCCATTTGCACTTTACCTCAACGATATGGGGGGGGGGAAGACTGTGAAATCAGATAACTAAAATTGTAAGACTTTTAAAACGTAGTGAGGGCAAATGAAGTATTTAAACAGTAGAAGTTTTCACTGTTATGAAAAAGTAGACATGCCAAAATAATTCATAAAAGTCAGGTTCGTTTCATCTAGGGGCCAATGATACCTTCTCTTTTAAGGTTTCCTGTAATGCTTCAGCTACAAGCAGTATGTTCATTCTTTTTTTTTTTTTTAAAGAATTATTTATTATTATTATTGCTAATATTATTTTTCACATGAGTTTTGCCAGAGAAAGACAGAGAGAGAGGGAGAGTGAGAAAGCAAGCTGCCAGGCCCAGGACTCAAACCATGGTCAGCCATGTGGGAATTCCAGCACCATACCACCATACCACCTGCTGGCCCAGCAATATGTTCATTCTTTCCTCTAAAGGGATACTTAACTTTTATAGCCTGCTTTACTTTTTGCAATCAGTTCTGATCTTTAGAGAAATTGAAATGAGATGCATAGTGTAAACTGTAATTAGTTTTCTTTTAAATCTTGATAATAGGAACTCTGTGCTTTCTCAAGAAGCACATACATTACTGACATCTCAAAAGCTTATGAGCTTTTGTGGGGGGACCAGCAGTTAGCGTAATGGCTATGTCACTGGACTCCCATGTAGTCGACCATGGTTCAAGTACCGGACCCGGTGGCTTAAACTCACACTGGGAGCATGTGTGTGCATGCCCAAGAATGGAGGAGAAGAGACTGCGGCGTGGTCATCCCCCCTGGGGGGTGATTTCTCGCTTTCTGTCTCTCTCTCTCTCTCTTTGTGGTGAGTGCACGTGCTACAGCAAAAAAAAAAACACTACAAAAAAAAAAAAAAAAAAAAAACCTTATGGGCTTTTTATAATTAGAATATTTTTGTTTTATGTTTAAACTTTGTTGTGCAGAATTAAAGACGCTGTGCTAAAAAGCTGGGAATCAGAGAAAATACCAAACAAGTAAAACAAAAAAAATTAGTTTATCTTAAAATAAATGCAATTATATATCTTCTAACAAAAAGTTTCTCAGATTTATGCATGTCTTTTTCAACCTAGACTGATTAGCAAGCACATTTTTAACACTGTACAACATACTAAGCTCCAGCATACCACAGGTCACCTGTACCTTAGAAAGTTTTCAGGTTTAACATGTCAGCTCAGATAGTGAGGTAGAAAAATGTAAACACTGAACTACTCTTAAAGAAAAAGTATGTCCATAAAGATCTACAAGATGTATGTCTTTTTTTTTTTTTTAAGAGATTTTCGCTATAGGGTGCGTGCGCTTGCCAGACAGAGAGAAAGAGACAGAGAGACAGAAAGCGAGAAATCACCCCCAGGGGGGATGGTCACACCGCAATCCCTTCTCCTCCATTCTCCTCTTGGGATTTTGGGCGCGCACGCACATGCGCCCGGCGTGAGTTTTAAGCCACCGGGTCCGGGACGCAAACCGCGGTCGACTATGTGGGAGCCCAGCGACATAGCCATTATGCTAACTGCTGGTTTCCAAGATGTATAAGTCTTTGATGCAGTGGAACGTTTGAATGAAATAAAATTCAGAAAACAGGGTTAGTTAAAATGGGGAAACACAGATAGCAAATGACATGTCTATAATGTATGAAAGATTTGGCCTTAAATTATAATATATTAATGCATAATATAATGCATGAAATATAAGTCTCGAAATAAGCAAATATATCAAGTATCTTCATATTTATGATATTTATTTCTCAATACCATGTAAAAGTACTTAATGTTTCATTCTATTGCTAAATCAAAGCCAATCTCTAATTCATCTATTGTAGCAATACAACAAAATATTTACCAACTCCCTACTAGTCATATTAGGAAATGTGAAAGTGTTTATTTTATACCTAAATTTTCTTTTTTAATTTATATTTTATAAACAAGTTCTTAAATTATTCCACCAACTACAAGCTATAAACTTAGAACTCACGGAAGGATTTGTGCGATAAATTATTTCTTTTTTATTTTTCTTTTTCTGTTTTTATTGTTTGGCTTTTTATATTGTAATAAGTATAATGTTTTTTCACACGTGAGGGATACATAAAAAATATAGTATATTGACTTCTAAAAAGATATTTTTGAATTTAACCTCCACTTTCCAAAAATAGGTGCTCTTACACCTACACATAATAGTTTAGAGTATTTTTTAGTCAAAACCACAACATGGGCTGGCAGGTGGCATGGTGGTTAAGGCAATGGACTCCCACACAGCCAACTGTGGTTCGAGTCTAGAACCTGGCAACTTGCTTTCTCACTTTCTCTCTCTCTTGCTCTCTCGCTTTCTTGGTCTCTCATCAAACTGAAAAAAAAAAGATGAATAAAACAAAATAATTCTTTAAAAAACACACTTCCTTTAATATGTAAAATTCTTACTAAAAAAAAAAAATCTAAAAAAAACTAAGCCATTGAAACTGTTTAAGAATACAGGGGCCAGGGACCAGCTGATGGAGTAATAGTTATGTCGCCAGACTCCCACATATTGGCCTGCGTTTCAAGTCCAGGACCTAGTGGCTTAAAACACACCAGGCACAAGTGCATTTGTGCCCAAAATCCTGACAGGGTGGAGGAGAAGAGATTGTGGTGTGGCCATCCCCCCCCCCCTTGAGAGGTG